GCTATGTTCGTTTCCAGATTTTCCTTCTAGTATATCACATAAGCCATGAAGATATGTATAAACTTGACTAATTCGAAAAAGAATCGAGTTAGTATTTGATCTTAAACAGAAACCTTTTATCAAGTTAAACAACATCTGAAACTCACTTATCATGGATAGGATAGGATCCATTTTTAGTAATTTAAAAACCGCAGATAACTGTTCCATCGCTTGTTCTTCGAGATAACTAACTTCAAGATGCATATCATCTTCACTTTGTTTTTCGTCATCATAACCTTGCTGATCACTTTCATCACTTATTTCTTCGTGATCATCATCTTCAGCTTGTTGATCGCATCCATCATCCACTTCTTCATTATCATCATCTTCTTCATTATCTTCATCTTCTTCACTGTTATCATCTTCTTCATTATTATCACCTTCTTCATTATCTTCATCTTCTGCATCATCATCATCTTCTTCATGATCCATCGAACTATTTCCACTTAGTTCGTCACCACCAGTATCCATGTCATACTTCTCAACAGCTTTATCCTGTTCTTTCATCATCTTTGTTTCCACCCATTGACACTTCGAGCACAACCAAAGAATATTTAATTGTTCCAAATCATAACGAGTCCGTATAAAATTGAGAAGACGAGAAGAGACCGGCCGAGAACCTGTTGCTACATAAGAAGAAACAGTATGTAGTGTTGGATGTTGGCATAACCGTCGTCTTGGCATTTTTCCTATATTTCCTCGGGAATGGACAAAAAGAGAATGATTTTGTTATTGTAAACCAGCAGATACATATCATGAATCATCTAAAATATTTCATTGCTCGTAAAAGAGAAGCCACTACTGAGACAAAACAGTGCAAAAGATGTCATGAAATGTCGAAATATATCTTCGTTAGCAGATGAGATTAAAATAGAACATTCACCACTGAAGTGAAGCGACGGTTATCGATTTGACTCTTCCTTGGTTGTCTATCGGGCATAAAATTATGCAAACACTACTGTTCAATCTGTACGCATTCGTTTTATAAAGTAAATGTTGTCATAAAAACCAATATAATTACTCTTTATGCCGATCACTTTAATTGCTATTAATTATATCAACCGAGTTGTCCGTTTTCTGGGTCCAACAGCATTGATCAAAAGCGAAAATTTCAGAGACGGTAGAGCTAAGTGTATTGATGAAAATCCACTATAAGATAGGTTTTTTGATTTTCAACATTATGCCTGAGGTGAAGGTACAAATTCGGGACATTTTTGAAACTAGGGCCGAAAGATGTTTTTTGCCATTCGGTTCTGGAACACACTACAGATCTGTGGATTTAAACGTTGAATAGAGAACAGTTTGGCGGTTCTAAAACACTAACGACAAGTAAAAGTACGTTTAAGCTTCATTGAGATACTTCT